ATTGGCACAAGACAGAGCAGAGTTTAGGGCTGTTGTACATAGGGTCGCTATGAGTCGCAAGCGACTCGACGGCACATAACAACAACAACAACAATCCTAACTCTGGATATTACTACACAAGAATGCATACTTTAAGATTTCAGTTTTGGTAGCAAAACTCCTTGTCATACTTTTGTCCATTCTTCTACTCCAAGAGATCTAAAGAAGCTATTTCTTTTTCTTCCATGTATCAGTGTCTTTCAAGGATAATATTACTTACTCAAAAGCTAGGCCTGAACTTGCTAATCCAAACATTGCTTTTAAATGGCAAAAGTATTTTCTCTTGCCTTATAAAAAAGTGTTTATAAACATCCTTTTTTTAGGGTTGATTTATTCACCATTTTCCATGATGCATCATGGAAATGCAGTACACATAATTATTTATGAATTCTCCTATTGCAGAAAATTGCTTTCTTGTGTTTTTTTCAAATATATATCATGCTAAAACAAGCCATTTTTTCTTCATCAATCTTTCTCTGCATTTCTGATCAATACCTTAAGCAAAGTTCCTACCAGTGGTATGACTGTGTCCTCATTATATGCATGGTAAGGCTCTGGATACCAGTTACCAACTGCTGTGTACTTTACTCTAATGCATAATGCTCTACATATGTCAGAGTAAACTGCTCCACAGGGCTTTCAGTGGCTGAGTCCTTTACAAGTAGCTTTCTGAGCATTTTTCTGAGGCACTACATTGTGGACTCCTGACTGACGTCTCAATTGTTGCTGAGTGTTCTAATGGTTCCCATCAATAATTCAAAGCCTCAAGCACTATATAACTACTGTCTGCTAATTTCTGGAACAACTAGCCCCCCCCCAATAAATGTTCACTATATAAGACTTTTTAATTTAAATATTTACAGTTACATTAGGTGAAAACTTGTTTTTCATTGTTTTACATTTTAAACCCTTAAGTATTTAAGTATAAAATTAGGGTTCATGTCGCATGCTTCAAGACTTTTGTCCATTTTTCATTAAAAAAGTAACTTTTTAATCGAGTTTAATTCTTAAGGGTTGTTGTTGTTGTTGTTGTGTACCATCAAGTTGGACTTGACCAATAGCTGACCCCCCTGGTAGGTTTTTGGAGGCAGTAACCTCACAGAGGAGATTGTCCATTCTTTTTCCGTGGAGTGGCTGGCAGATTCGAACTGCATGCCTTTGGATTGCAACATACATTCTTACCACTAGACCACCAGAGCTACAAATAAAGGATGCATCTGTAAGATTCACGGACAGTTTTCTACCAATTTGTGTAACTTTGAGGTTATTTTTAGATGCAGAGAGATCTCAATTTTTTCTTTTTAATAATACTGAAACTTTAATCTTTTCCTTAATTACTTCGGCTACTTTTAAATTTAATTTGTATTTTATATTTAAATGGGTTTCCTTGTCCAATCACCAGTTAAATATATGCTGATTTTATTATTTAAAGATGGAGGGTCAGTGAAAGAGAAGACAAGCTTAGATGAGAGGTATTGACACAGTCAGAGATGATGAAGATAGCCCATGACAGGACAGGGTTCACATTGTTGTTCACAGTGTTGCTATGAGTCATATGCAACACAACAGCACCTAGCAGCAATCATCACCACCACCAGTGGATAGACTCATAGAGGAAAATTTTGGTTAGAAGTTAATGCATGTCTGACAACTGGTTGTTCAGATTTGTAATGTAGAAACTAAGTAGAAGGCAAAAGGTGTGATATTTTTCAATAGAACAAGTCCAAGTTTCTTACCCAGAATTAAAATACATGATTTACATGAAGTGTTTGTTGTTGTTACTGCTTAATGAAAAAGACAAGTGGCATTAGAAGGTGGTATCAAGATTGGAGGAAAACCCATCAACAACAGGCACTATGCAAATGACAAAGCAGAATTTGCAGAAAGTGAAGACTTGAAGCATTTGTTGCAGAAGATTAAAGCTTTCAATATGAACTGTATCACAATAGCAAGAAAATCAAACTCTTTACCACTGAATCAATAGGCAACATCATCATAGATGGTGAAAAGATTGAAGCTGTCAAAGATTTAATTTTATTTACATTCAAAATCAATACACATGGTAGTAGCAGGCAAGAAATAAATACATGTTGCATTAGAAAACTCTACTGGTTGGAGGAGAGGGTAGGTAAGGAGAAAAGTGCAAAAATGAATGACTGGAAACCCTAAGTCTCTGTAAACTTTCATTAAAATTCTTTAAAAAAATAAGAAGCAAAAAGGGGAAAAAAGAAACTCTACTTACTGGTCAAGGACTTCATCAAAATGCTAGAAAACAAGGATATCATTTTAAAGACAAAGGTGCGCTTGATTCAAGTGATAGAATTTTCAACTGCTATCTATGCATCTAAAAATTAGACAGTAAGGAAGACCAAAGAAGAATCAAAGCCTTTGAATGATGGTGATGGTAAAGAGTACTGATTATCTGTCCCATAGACTGCCAAAAAAGCAATCCTCCTCTGTCTTGGAGGAACTGCAACTAGGGTGCTCCTTAAAGGCAAGCAGGGATGGCAAACTTCATCTTACATGCTTTCATCATGATATCAGGAGGGGACTATCCTTGAAAAAAATCATGCTAGGAAAGGTAGAGGCTCAGCAAAAGAGGATAACCATCAAAGAGATGGACTGGCACATCATCTGGGCTGATCGTGTTGGAGAGCATGAGGATGGCACTAGTAGGGCAAGATTTAGATCTGTAGTTCACAGGGTGACTATGAGTAGTAGTCCACTTAGTAACACATAACAACTACAACAACACTGCTTAACGAAAGCTAGAGACTAAAGAACTTTCTCTATTTTCTTTCTTTTATTATATATAGAGTGAGTTAATTTAATGTTCATTATAACTAGAATAAGAGAGAACTACTTTGAACATTCTTGCCGGTAAGGAGAATGATGGTTATTACATAATCTTTGTTTTAATGGAATTTTACATGTATCTCTGTATGTGTCTCAGTCTATACCAATTTTAATTCTCACAGGAGAAAATCTATCAACAATTTTACAGAAAAGACTGAAGACAGCAGATCAATGTGGAATAATTCAATTGTTAAATACATGTGTCAATGGTTCTAGAAACAATGGTGAGGAGATCCACCACCATCTACAACTGAGATGACCCATCTAGTTTAATGAGAGAATAGAAATCAAAGGGTAACCCCATCAACCACCACACTAGCCTTAACAAGGGAAGGTCAGAAATGTCTCAAGACCAAAGAAAGCTGACTCACCACTGCAAGTAGATGCTGGGATCTTCTCACTGGCATGAAAGGGGAGTCTTGCCAGCTCTTCCTCATACTCTGCTGAATTAGCTGGGTCAGGTTTGGGATTGGAAATGCCTGGCACAGAGAAAGATTAGCTTATGAGCTGTGTAAGCAAAAAGGACTGAAAGTGTATAGTAAGTCTTTCAAAAGATCCTCCAAACTAACATGAAGAAAACCATAAAGGCCTTGGATCCTGCAACAGGACACTCATCTTAGAAGAACATGGGGTCTATCAGACTAGTACTCACAATATGCCAGGAAATATGCTGAAAAGGAAGTAAAGTATAGTCTGAGAAGATGGACAGATGGGTCTGCAGACCACCTGTGAGGCTGGGACTGAAGCACAACTATGTTTGAAAGAGGCAATATTGTCTGGTGGAAAAGAGCATGGAATCCAAGGTAGGTACACTGAGTTCCATTCTGACTCAGCATTTCAGAGGCATGTTAACAGGGAGGTAGTTACTCAACCTGACACTTTCATTATGTTCAATATGGGATAACATCTTGCTTACATGGGGATATGGAAATAAATGAGTTACTTTATGCAGTTTATTCACTGGAACTCCTAGAATCAAATGCAATTAAGTTCTTGCTGTACCTCTCTGCTAGCTTCCACTAGCCTTAGCAACAAACCAAAGAACTGCAGGCTAAGCTTGGGTCTATAAAAGAATATAAACATCACCTAAGAATTCCTAGCCCTTCCACCTCCTCCCACTGGGTAAGCCATGCCCTCACCTCCTGAGACCATTTTCCCATAGGTCTCCAGCATGAGGTTCCAGTAGTGCTCCTTCTCAGTAGAATCTAAGTTCCTCCATTGTTTCTAGAAAAAATACAATGTCAACACCTTAAACATGGCTCCAAAGATAGGTACTTAACCCTGCCTAGAGGAAAAGTGAAAAGGAATAAATGTGCCAAAGGAGCCTAAACATCAGAAGATCTGTTAACAACAATGAAAGAATTTGTTTTTTCAAACAGAAAAGCAAAATGGGGGGAGGAGGTGAGCAGAGAGGAAAATGTGCAACAATGACTGAATGGAAATTAAAAAAAATAAATAAATAAACCAACAACCAACCTGAAAGAAGAAAAAAAAAGGGACCATGAAACCTTGGGAGAGAGATTAATGAAGGAAGAGCCACGAGCAAAACGACAGTTCTTACTGCAGTACTTCTTGTCCTGAGTAGACAAATATGACTACAAAACTTTTGCAGTACAGTTTGTTTTTGTTAACTTTTATTTGTGTGTGTGTGTGTGTGCCCCCCCGGGTCAAAGCAATCTGACTGGTATAGGAGGAGATTGTCCCTCCTTCTTAGCAGGGCATCTGGTGGATTTGAACCGTGCACCTCAGGGACTGCAGTACAGCTTCTTGCCACTAGGCCACCAGAGCTCGCCTGCAGTACAGTTTTAACTTCACGCATATGTTTTTAAGGTGTAAGCCACTAGGGGTAAACTCTTCCTGTTGAATGGAGAACATACCAGAACGTATGTGGGGTTGGTTTTTTTACCCCCACCTCTACACATTCTTTTTTTTACTATCTACATGACTTCATGGAAGCGTCTGACATTCTCAACTCAAGTGAAATCTAGAAATTCAAGGGAGAAAATAAATGAAAAAGGAATGTGCTGACAGTGCAAATTTGCAAAAGAGAATAAATGACATTGAAGTTGACTGTGTTCCAGTCCCATCCAGACACATGACTGATCTCTTCAGAGAAACAGCAACACACTACTGTAATTCCCCAAAAATTGTAGTTTAGCATGTAACACTCATTAAATGGATCAATTGTCATAAATAGGGTAGCATTAACATATCCTCTAAAGCAAAGTTCTTTCGTATCTTAGGTGTAAGGAATTGTACTGTCAAGCCAAAGGCAAGCAGTTAAAATGAACTAGCTGTTCTGTAGGAGAAAGATGTGCAATCTCCTCCCATCTGATTTACTGACTCAAAATCCTCTACTGGTCAGCTCTAAGTTGGTTCCTACTAGACGGTTCATAACTACAACAAATGGAAGCAGAGGGAGCTCTGGCGGCCTACTCTGCAGAGAACTATGCTAAGCCAGAGGTGGCCCCTCTCTAATGGTTTAAACCCACCAGAGGCTCCACAGGAGAAAGATGGGGAGTCTCCTCCCATGGGATTTATAATTTCTATACCTGCTGGAGAGTCAGCTGTGATTCAGTTCTAACTTGACAACAATGAGTTTGAGTTCTGAGCTATGTAGAACTACAGACCCTCGAGAGGAAGCCACACCACCTTCTGGTTCTATGATCTTCAGCAAGTTGTTAAAATTTTCTGGACCTTAGTCCTCACCTAAATTTTCATCAAGAATGAGGGAAACTAATAAGGTTTACAGATCTCTCATGATATATCATATGCTTTATGAAACACTGTACTTTTAATTCAAAGTATTCTTCAAGTTATTGTTGTTGTCTTTAGCTGCAGAGTTCACAACATCGTACAATAATTCTATGAATCAGGAGACAGCCAGGAAATAAGGGGAGTTCAATAAATAAAATCCCCTAAATTTTCAAAATCTCCTGAGAACTATAAACTGACACCCAAGCTAAATGGACCTCAGGCACAAGATACATATAAAAAATGGCCTCCAGGTCCACTGTAATCAATCTTTTTTTTTCTCATTAATTTTAATGAAAGTTTACAAAGACTTTGGATTTTCATTCTTTCATTGTTGCACTTTTCTCCCTGCCCAACCTCCCTCCCAGTTCGCTCTTCTCTTTGAAAAGTAAAAGAAAAATTATTTCATTGTTAAACAATCCCTCCCTCCAAGTCCACTCCCCTATGCAGCTTCGTTCTGGACTCCTGTCATGACAATAATATCTAATCAGATATCCCTTTTTAATTGCTAAAAAAGCAAGGAAAATACACATGTGAAATGAAGAGAATTTATGGTATGATTCCTTATTATACAAAATCTTAGAAAATACAAACTAACCTATGGTGTCAGAAATCAGACCAGTAGTTGTGCAGAATGGGAAAGGGAAAGGCAGAAAAAGGCAAGAGAGAGGGATTGTAAATGAACAAGAGGAAATGTAGGGGTGATGCACATGTTTATCATAGTTGGAGCAAGATCAGTGGACAGCTTTACAGAACAGAAATTTATACTCTCCAAGTTTAGGAGGCTAGAAATTCTAATTCAGGGCACTAGCTGTCTTAAAACAGTTTTGGTTTTCCTCTCTCTGTCACCTCTGGGAAAAGTCCTGGTCCTTTTTTCATCATTTGTGGGCCAGGCATTCATGGGTGATGTACCTGTGCCTCGGTCACTCATTGCCACAGGCCTAAGAGGTTCTCAGCACAGGACCCAGATCTCACAAATGCTCTCCACTCCTGGCTCTTCGTTCTCAGTGTTAGTAAAGTTCTCTAATTTCTAACTTGCTTCCTTCTCTTTTATCTCTTCTATCAGTGCTGGGGCTTTGAGACAAGCTTTGTCTCATCACAGCTTTTTTCCCATCTTTAATCAAGGCCTACACTCCACAATTTTAAATGGCAATCAAAAATCACAGACATGAAATATAATGTATATAAAAGAAGCACAATGTACATGACTTTTGTATGCAAGCCAAAATAAAATTTAAAACAAAAAACATGCATCCATAGAGAAGGGTGGGAGAGTTTAGTAGGCAGAGGGAGGGTGTAAAGAAATTAAGAAAGATCCAGTGTGGATATGAAGAGAAGGGGTAATTGTGACCATATATCAATGGTGATTAATTTCATAAAACACAATCTATAGGAATAAATCCTAAGAAACAATGTGAAGGAAGTAATGTGTGAAACACAATGTATATGAATTTTTTTATACAAACCAATATAAATCTTTTTAAAAATATGCATCCCTGGGGAAGGGAGGGAAAAAACATTGTGTCACAGAGTTTTGTGGGCAGAAGGAGGTTATAAAGGAATTAGAAAGGATTCAGTAGGGACACAAAAAGATGGTTTAATAGTGGACATAGATCAGTGATTAATTTTCTAAGACACAATGTATAAAAATGATTATCTAAAACACAATGTGTGGAAATAGAGAAAGATGGAATTCTCCCAGATTCATTCTATGAAACAAACATATCCTTGATACCCAAGCCGGGAAAGGACACCACCAAAATAGAAAACTATAGGCCAATATCTCTTATGAACATAGATGTAAAAATACTGAATAAAATCCTGGTCAATAGAATTCAACGAGACATCAAAGAAATAATCCATCATGACCAAGTGGGCTTTATAACAGGTATGCAAGGCTGGTTCAACATAAGGAAAACAATCAATGTAATTCATCATATTAATAAAGAAAAAAAAGAACCACATGATTGATGCAGAAAAGGCCTTTGACAAAATCCAACACCCTTTCCTGATGAAAAAACTCAACAAAATAGGATTAGAGGGGAATTTCGTCAAAATACTAAAAAGTATTTATGAAAACCCAAGAGCCAACATCGTTCTCAATGGAGAGAGGTTAAAGGCATTTCCTTGAAGAACAGGAACTAGGCAAGGATGCCCACTCTCACCTCTCTTATTCAATATTGT